AACGTTGTTAGAACAACGGGTAAAAGCTAGCTACAACTTTTACCCGTTGTTCTAACAACGTTAAGACGGCTTATCGACTTCTTGAGAAGAATTCTAAGAAGAAAGTAAACCTACAGACATCGGTCTTGTTTAACAAAATCTGCCTACAAGAAAATCTGTCACCAAAGTACACCAATATATATATATATATACCTGAGTGCGATTCTGTAGTGTTTAATAGCTAGTTCAATATTTCCTGTGTCCTTTTGAAAGTTGGCAAAATTGTAGTGGACCTTAGCATTCTGAGGTACACTCTCCAGGCCTGACCTGTAAAAGAAATAAAATTACTGCAGTCTACTTATTTATTTGCATGTCAGAATTGTCTGGATAAGTTATAAATAGTGTTATTTTGTGCTGACGGAAAAGTCGTTTAAAGCTATCTTTAAGAAAATAGAATCTCATGAACTGATTTCCCCCCAATGCCTGTGTTATGGTTTGGAAAAGGCGTTATTGTTATTGTACATAAGTACTTTATACATCGTTCACCACGGTAATGCAACGCCATACACATTGCATTCAACAACAGGCTTGGATGTTTCATTGCTCTTCTTTAAGATTCTGCTTAGAAATTTCACCCCTTGCAACCTACTTAATATCGCATAGTAATCTTTTAGTTAAACTCTGTGTTTCCATATATTTAAAACTATCCATAATATGCTGTCACAAAAATGATGTAATTCGATTCCTAAGTGAAACCAATAACCCTATATTCAATTATTCGCACGCGAAATTGAAAACCGTATTATTGCAAAAAGCTGATTGTAAAATCGATAATTTAGTTTCAGTTATAACGGATTTGAAACTTCTAACCTCATGCTCTTCCAACAACGAATTAACGTATCTTGTATATTTAAACTGGTTCAACAAATATCAGTCTTAATAAACTAAAATGAACCTCAACTTCTATTGCAATTTTGGTACGACTTAACTATGAATCGTTATTGTTGTAGTTTCTCTTCTTAGACCATATCAGAAATTGTGCACGTGCAAAGCACTCGAAATACACTATATTATTCTTGTTCTGTATAACAGCTTACTTGAACAGAGTCTCCCTGGATTCCCAAACAGCGTTACGACGTAGTGTCCACCATATGAACACAGACAAGAGGAATATCGCACTAATTCTGCCAATCCAAGTCACTTTAGAACTCCAGTCTTTCAGTTTCTGTAGTCCGTGGGTTACAAGTATATACAATCCTGCACTGGAGTCCAGTAAATGAAGAGAGAGGAGCTTTAGCATTTAATTATATTACAGCGCTAGATGTGTAGTTTTATGGAATATTAAAGTTAAGTAAAAATGGATAAATGTAATCAATATAAGATAAAATATTTAAACAGAGAATATTTTAAAAAAATAAAAAGAATCTCAAAAAAATTGTCTTTATACATTTAAACCAACGGAAATCGCAATTATTATTTTCGATAATAAATAAAATCATATTTCGTTTCTTCTTGTTAAATTATTTATATACATGAATACATATTTTCTCAAATAATATCATATAGTCCCCCAGTGGCACAGCGGTATGTCTGCGAACTTACAACGTTAGAAACCGGGTTTCGATACCCATGGTGAAAAGAGCATATATAACCCATTGTGTAGCTTCGTACTTAATTACAAACAAACAAAAAATATCATATACTCAGGTAAACACCATTTAATAAATGACATTTTTTTGCATCTACGAGCATAAGGAAGTGCTATATAGAACATATGACTGTTTTATAATCGAATATTTATCTGTAGGTGTCGAGGGAATCACTACATACCCTTATATGGCGGTTAGGAATTGGTGAACATAACATATGTCCCTTAAAATTAAACACCTATTGGGCTCCGTATACGTACTATGCAGGTTTGAGAACTTTAATAGACTGTAACTGCCTATTGAGAAGACAGGAGACGACGTTTCGGCTTCTTTACTAAACCGACACATTGCCTCCTTTACTTTCATTATAGGCAGTTGCAGTCTACTAAAGTTCTCAAATATACTACATCTATGCTGCCTAAAGTTCCGCTGAAACAGCGTTATTTCTATGCAGTTAGAAATTGGTAGATTGAGCCTATATCTGTTACATTTAAATACTTGCCTTGGTAGGTCATGTATTCGCTCAGCCACCACAGTCACTAGAAGGCTAGAAATTAGTACATAAAACGTATAATTACATTTAAATATTTTTCTGGGGGAAGTAATGGGTTTATTCAGCTAACAACTCCCACAGCCACTAGAATATTGAAAAACCGGTAGATAGAGCCTATAACCGTTACATTTAAATATTTGCTTGGGGATCATGTAAAGAGTTCGCTTAGCCACCACAATCCCCACAGTCACTAGAACATTAGAAATTGGTAGATAGAACTTACACTTACATTTCAGTACTTACCTGGGGATGTAAAGGGTTCGCTCACCCACCATAAACCCCACAGTCACTAGTAGATTAGAAATTGGTAGATAGAACTTATACTCACATTTCAGTACTTACCTGGGAATGTAAATGGTTCGCTCACCCACCATAAACCCCACAGTCACTAGTAGATTAGAAATTGGTAGATAGAACTTATACTTACAATTCAGCACTTACCTGGGGATGTAAAGGATTCGTTCAGCCACCATAAACCCCACAGTCACTAGAAGATTAGAAATTGGTAGATAAAACTTATACTTACATTTCAGTACTTACCTGGGGATGTAAAGGATTCGTTCAGCCACCATAAACCCCACAGTCACTAGAAGATTAGAAATTGGTAAATAGAACTTATACTTACAATTCAGTACTTACCTAGGGATGTAAAGGGTTCGCTCAGCCACCACAGACCCCACAGTCACTAGAAGATTAGAAATTGGTAGATAGAACTTATACTTACATTTCAGTACTTACCTGGAGATGTGAAGGGTTCGCTCAGCCACCACAAACCCCACAGTCACTAGATGATTAGAAATTGGTAGATAGAACTTATACTTACATTTCAGTACTTACCTGGGGATGTAAAGGGTTCGCTCAGCCACCACAAACCCCACAGTCACCAGAAGATTGGAAGCCGGTAGAAACGAAAGTGTGAGTATCGCCAAAGCTACTGATAGAACAGTCATTTCTCCTATCTAATCAAACAATATATATATATGTATATGAGTTTTTCTTGCTGTATAGAATATTCCGTAAACTAGTAATATTCCAATTAATATTTTTCTTCTACACCATACTTGATTACTAAGCAAAACAGTTGAATAATTTTCAAAAAAGTGTAATATTAATCAGTTATGTTTTAGAATTGTTCCTGTTTTTCCAGGACAAAATAGCATTTGATACTATAGCAGTAGTTTGAGCGATAAGAATAATATGAAAACGTATTTAATAAGTTAATATTGTATTGAATCAGTTTATATATGATCGTTCTTTTACTTTATACTACATTTTAAAAATGATAGTGTTGAGTTGAAAGTATCAATCATAGGCTTGAGTCCAACAACAAGAAAAATATAGACTAACGTTTGCTAGAGAGACCTGTAAGAATGAGAACCGCCGTCAGCAAAAAATAAAAATAACGAACGGTATATCTCTCTTTCTCTTATTTATGGGTCTCTCTGTGTTTTACCCACATGCTAATTTTGTAATTACTACAAAGAAAATAACTGTTTACTTCATAGGTATTATAAAGACGTAATTGTGTATCCACAACTATTAATTGGACGTGCTTGATCCATTTTTACGTTTTCATAATGATACATTTGTTTTTCACAGATATTTTAAATCACCAGCAATTGAATAAATCACACTGAATAGTGAATAAAATACCAACATCACTAAAATATTGTGTTAATTTCAACCTGACCAAAATGAAGAAATTAACTTAGAAATAAGTAATGGAAAACGAGCAGAAGTTATTGCCTTATTTAATGAAGGAAACTTTACTATTGTTTTATTTGTTGATACAATTCTTTTATAACATTCTGAATTTCTTTGTTTTCCTTCAAGAAACGGAAACGATAAGAAGAGACGGAACTTTTGAAGCGGTGTGTGATTCTTTAGTGTGTTCCATTTTATTTGTAACAAAATTATATGTTATTATTTAAAGTAGCTCTAACGGATAAGTATTATTTTTCAAAAAAATCATACACCGCTTCAACATTTCCTTACCTCTTGGCGTTTCTTTCTTCGGAAAACTCAGGTTTGTTGTTAGAAAATAAATCAGAAAGAAAACCTGAATGGAATATTGCCAAAATTTGTGTTTCAAAAGATAAGGTGAAAAGAACATTAAATCGCATTTGTTTTGTATTTTTTGCAGTTGAGGTTTAAAGTCTAATAAGAGAAATGGGCATCCTTGTGTTATTTACAGCAAATCGATTGAAAACATTCTCAGTGTTTAGTGTGGGATTTACATAGATCTGAGATCATCAACAAGACTGTCTGGCGAGACAGAGTTCTATGTGGACAAGTTATAGATTTGAAGCCACTATTTCACGTATGAAATTGGCCCAACGTTTAAAACTTGCAAATAACCACAAAATTGGAAGAATAAATAAAACAATATGTTATTGAATGGACGAAGCAAAGAACGATTATGATTTTTTAGAAGTTCTACGAGATTTATTATGTGTAGAGAGAAAATTAAACAAGAAAATGTAAAGAAAACAGAGAAACATGATAGTGAACGTACGTTTTGTTGTTTTTTTTTATGCAGGAGTTGAAGGTCTTAAAATTAACGGTATTACGATCTGGCTCGTCATGCACTACTCTGATTCTCAGCGGAATGTTGATGATGAATCCGTGTTGAATTAGAAACGGAAGGAAAGAATTAATGATACAAAGGTAATGAATTGGCTAGCCCAAACACCTCATGTTAAATCAAATTTGTTAAAACAGTGAAAAACGTTGCAAAACAAAAGTCAACTAACTGACGGCAACTTTTGAATATTATACAACAAGAATGGCAACGGTCATATATGTAGTTAAGGTATGATGGAAAGCCTATATTAAAGATTGATTATTCAATGTATTAAGTTCGGATGTTAACTTCTTATTCTCAACATTGGAATATTGAGTATAAACATAAAACGTAAGCAGAAAAAAAACTACTGTTAATTTGAAACCTTCCTTGAAAACGTTTGTGTTGATAACTTGTATTGAGGCTCATGAAGTATGTAATGTAGCAGAGCCTTTAGTTCTATGGTCAGTTTGTAACAGTGTTTATAGTCTTGATCATGAAATACATTGAGTTTTAGTTAGCTATTACAGTGTCATTCCTGGCAAAAAATATACAAACTAAAGTAGGCAAAAAAAACAACAACAAACTTTTAGTTTATTATTATTTAGTTCAGTTTGTTAGAGTACAGTGTCTATGAGAAACAGTAACGAGACAAGTTCAAGTTTCTTGGTGGGTTTGTGTGTTTATCCACAACACCTACCTCCTCTTACCTTGACTGTTCTTCTGGTGTACATTAAAATGCTTCCAAGTCCACCAAAAAGCAACACCGAAATAAGGTTACGCTTTTCCCACACTGTCTCCACCAAGGGAATGCTGCCCATCTGCCAATCATAAGATAGGTTTGAAGGACAGAGAATCAAACAGGCGTTGAAGGTAACAAGGTATGTCTTTGTGAGAAATCTGGAGGATAACAAAATATGTAGAAACCAGTTACTAGATGGGAAGCTAACTTCATTATTTTCAACAAACGTTATTTTGTAGAATGTGGTTGTTACAATACAACTTTATCCTAAACCCAAACATCTAACTATAACTACTTGTACGTTAGTTACTAAGACTATTTGCAAACACGCAACCAAGACCACTCCCAATCCATGTATAAGACAAGATAGAAGCTTGTGACTAATTCTTCTTCAGCTGCTTGGCTATTACTATTTACAGTTGTATGACTGAGAGTACTTACAAATGTGTGGATAAAGCGTGTTACAAGGACTACTAAAAATACATCGATTAGAGCATAATCACATTCAACTGCTGCTAGTCAAAAATTGTTAATAATTTAATCACGTGCCATTTTCGTTTATTTAAAATGAATAGCGTTTCAGGTCACAACTGACGAGAATTTAATCGCGACTAATTTTAAAAGCGATATGAACTTATCGTGTGTCTGCTTGTTTGTTTATTGGATGTCGTGCAAGCTTATCGAGGGCTATATGCGCTAATTTTTTCTAACTTTCAAGAGATGAGACAGCTAACCAATACCAACCACTGTTACTCTTTTGCTACTGTTGTCAGACCGAATAGCGAGACTTGACCGTTGCTCTTGCAACGCATCATAGCACTAAAGCGTGGAGAACGATTTTGTTTTTGTTTTCTTTTGGTCATAGGATTCAAGCCACGTAACCTCAGCTCCACAGTCCGGCATGCTAACCATTAGGCCTCTCTCAATCCAAATCGCGTGTCATCTTATTTGTAACTGAATTCAGCTTAACTCAGACTGAAAGAGAAAATAAATGAAAAGAGAAAACAGATTATGCTTCGATAATACAACATCCAGTTTCACTCATTCATTTGACCTTTTTCTGGACATCGGCCAAGACTTTGGTACCTTTTCTTTTAGAAACTTTTGACAATTTTTTCATTGTAATGTCGGTAATTATTAGTTTAGTTCAAGAAAACGAGAATTAATTTCTCTGATCATCATCAAATCTTGCATTTGATTTTAAAGACGATATAACAGCAAAGAGGCATTAAACTGTTTTAAGTAACTGTAAAAGATTTAATTTTTTTTTTAAATTTCTTCTACTGTATTTGCAACAAGTAGCTGGCGTCATTTGCATGAGCACCAGTTTTGTTGACATTATCCAGTAAGGCTTCGGGACTAAAATAGTTGTATAAATAACATTATAGATGAAATTGTAATTAAAGAAATCTGAAAACTTTGGCGTTATCGGAAGCCATTTCTTCGTTGTTGTTTTTTTCAGAGCGAGAATTTGAAACGAGCGAGAAGCGTGAGTCTTAGATTTGCCGTTACCTCATGAGTAATTATGTCAACATCCCGACATCCCGAAAATATCGAATCTACTCCTGAATATTAAATGTCTCATATTCAGAATTCTTCTGGTTATCTACGATGTCTTTAATCGTGATTACTTTTTATTTTTCTTACTTGTCGATCAAGTTCCATGACCATTTATAAAAACATGTTACACGTAGAGCTTAATAAGTCATGTTAATATCTTTATTATCAACTCTCAGTAATCAGTTTTTACAAAATACGCCAAATATCCTTGGCTAGATATCTAATGATTTCACTGTAGTTATAATGGAGTTTATACTTATACCAGTGTGTACTTACCTCGTAAGCAACGAAGACGCGAAAGCAGCAGGGTTGTCTTGTTCAGAAAACCTTGGTAACGAACCTTGAAGCATCCATATACGAAATCCCAAAAGGACTAAATACTGTTGAAATAAAACATTTCAATTATTTCTAAAAATAATCTGAATGTATTTTTAATTAAATTTTACTAAAAAGCAACTTCAATTTACATAAACATTTAAAACGAAATACAGGAAACAAAATGTGTTTTCAATTACGATTACGAACACAAATGAAATTAAGGAAAAATAATACTATTTTGAAAGCTAAATGCAGAACAGGAAACAAACGTGCAAAATCATTCTATAAATATATCTACGACACTTGTAACATACTATATAATTGGTGGACACCATCATTCTACTGAAGAAGTTTGGTTTCCTTTGATTTAAGTTTCTGGCGAAGAAAACTATCCAAACGCTTATCGGTAAACGTAAGAAAGTTTAGAGTAGCATGTCACGCACGCTTTCTGTTGCAAATTACACTCACAATGGCTATTTCTATACAGTTGATAGAAAAGAAACGCGTTTAATCATAATAAATTTTGGATAAACTGTAATTAGATAATCTTTTACGAAAAGACACTCAAATAATTACTGATCTAAGCTATGTCTTTGAGATAAAAGTTTTTTTACTACATAATGCATTTCTTGTTACTACCGATTCTATTTTTTTACTTTCCATATCACTGTAATACAGATGGTTAATCGTATTTTATAAGGACAAATTGCATATGTTAATAAAATGGCGTGATGCCACAAATGCTAGCATGGGTGACATTGGCTACATGTTTATCACCTATATATTTGGTTCATGATATATTTATGGTTGGAGGAATATGTCACAGCCTTTGAAAAGAGGAAATACGTGTAGGAAGGTTGTTAAATGATCTGGACCTAAAGGACATAACATTTCGATGAATTAGAGCAATCAACGTTTTCCAGGAAAATGGAGAAAACTTGAACAGCACATGTTTAAAACAGCAACGAGGTACAAAATCACACCCCAAGCCAATTGGAAGAGCGCCCTCATCCATAAAATCGATACTATGGTTACGAAAGAGAACCTTCTGATCCACAATGTCATTACAATGATGGGTGTGCATATCTTCTGACGTCATTAGGAAGATAACAAACAAATGTTTAAATTTGAAGAAGGTTCAAAGCTTCCAATCACACCTCAAAATCATTAAATGTTTTGATGAGAAAGACAGGCGAAGAAACTGGAATCGACTCATTCTATCACACACATTTCAGTACACTTTTGTGCATTTAGTTTGCTTAAACCTGGCCTTGAAAGCCGACATTCACATATCCTTAAAGGTCTTCAGAGAGGTTGTCAAGATAAGTGATAGAAATTTAACCTTGCCGTCCTGCATAGAAGTTTGCCACAATGGAAATTGCAGTTTTGTGCAATAGTACATAATTATAGCCATTAAACTGAGTACGATCAACAGTAAAAGAGGAATGTAGATCCAAGCGCAGTAAGTAATCTAAAACATCGTTCTTATTAAATGCGATTAACCAACGTACATCATAATAAGGCACTCTCTGATATTTCTAATAAGAAAACGGATATAACACTGCATCTTTCATTTTAGCTACTTAATATAAAATGACAACTTACCCCAGTCAGTAAGAACACCGTGTGTTGGTCCAGCCAACCTTGCCTTTCTTTAATACATCTGAAAAAAGAATATAATTTCAAACAAAACATTATAAATAAAACCACGTTTTCCTTACTACTCAAGATCGTACAATATTTAGACAAGTAATTAATTTCTTTAGAACACTTGAATGTTTCAGTCAATCTATCATTTTAATCTATTTAATGTAAAGTCATCTCACGCTTCCCTTTATTTAAGTTATTAACTCCAACTGAAGAAGTGTCTGACATTTGTGCTAATCAGCATTAGAGCAATTTAATATCACTAAAGTACCTATACTTTTGGCGCGATTTTCTTATAAATTCCAATAAGGCGATCAATCATAAAATGGATAGATGTGGTATAAATCCAAAAATAAATTGTGTTTTCTTGTTCTATAATTGCAGTTAATTTGTCGACAGGTTAACTTGTATCTAATGTCACCCATTAAACATGTGTGTTAAATCCCTCATTCTTAGTAACATTTGGTTTGCCATCTACAATATGTTTGAAACACGACATTTTTAGGTTTTTCAACCTAGAAAGGATAAATACACTAAATTTTATAACTTATTTAATCAGACGTCAGATTTCAACTCTGATTCTTCCACAACCTTCCTGAGAGCGTTTGTAAAGTACACTTCAAATACAGGGAATTTAAAGCAGACATTTTTCCAACATTAATGCAAAAACTGTAGTTGTGGAGATTAAACTTTTAAAAGAACTTCTGTGTAAAAACAATAGATATATGAATACTTAACACGCTATCTACTATATTTTTAATTAACTTAACTTTCTTTTTTATCCTTCTCTCGAGCCTCTAGTAATGTTTAATATTTACATCACTATTGTGCGCCTACTAGTCTTTTATTGTTCACGTACTCTACTCACTACCTGTTATCATTATCTTACTCAACCTACTCATCTTTTTACTTATTCTCTCAAGCTGTCCACTTGATACTCTTATTGCTCTCTTCCTCTCTCTTTCCCTCCTCCTTTTTTTTTACTATTATATTTGTTGTATTCGTCTTATCAATACCAAACTGTTTGCTCGGCTATATAATTTATTTGGATTAGTATTTTTCATGGATTCTTCTTAAGCCATAAGTACCACAAACAAAAAAGGAATACATTTTTAGGTGAGATAATCATGCATTTCTTAACGCTTTTTCTGTTGACTCTTACACAATAAAATAAGGGAACATAACAAAAAGTATATTGATTTTGTGTTATTAGGTTCCTATCAAAATGAGGATATCCGTTGATGCATTGGAAAACAAAAGAATAGATCAGTTTGGAGAACCAGGATCAACAAGGAAGAAACCGCAACAAGTCCTATTCCTATAGTTAGATTTGGCATTACTAAACAGAGGTTGAGTGCTTTATATTTAAAGGATTTTGGAGCTTCACTGCGTCGTTACAGTCTAAGTCGTCATGTCTGGCCATGTTCTATCTGACGTTCGTGAATCTTGAAAATAGTCCTGCTGTGTAATTTCCATTGTAAAAGGCTCTGTAGTAAGAGTCCATAGACAAAGCACACTTCTACTCGTCACATGCTTTCCATTCCAACGGTCTGACCCCATAGAAATCTACAGGCGTTGCGTCAGGCGAATTAAAGGACACATGTTTTCGTATAAAATTAGCATTAATAGCCGTTTTATTCTCTAGCTCTCCAATTATGAGACTATTGAACGGATATGTGTCGCTTTGGAAACGAGGACCCTTCTTGGTTATGTTGCGTACACGAAGGCGACTTTTCAAACCAATGTTTTCGTTCGTGGATTCTCACCTGTTACAGGATGCCGTGCTTTTATTACCACGGCTGGAATAGGACTTGTTGCGGTTTCTTCCTTGTTGATCCTGGTTCTCCAAACTGATCTATTCTTTTGTTTTCCAATGCATCAACGGATATCCTCATTTTGTAAATTCTAAGTACTCCAACTGAACACATCTTTTTGATCTGTGTATATAAATATTTTACGTATCAAAGGGCTGTTACAAATACCGTTCCCTAAACCGATCAGTTTTCGGTGGCATCACACTACCTACGAAACACCAAACAATGTCAATACGTAGTTTTGATATATTCCGTTTCACCGTGACTTTACATTGGCTATGACTTCCACGTGACCTGCTGATTTACCTATTCAAAATCGTTTTAATATGACGTACTATTTCCTGTGTATGTGGTAATGTTTTTATCGGCCTTGCCTTTAAAAACATTTCACAAACTTGTTTAACACAATATTAATATGATACGTAGTGGTAGTGTCATCTTCTTAGTTCCTGTCGTTCCTAGTGGAACATAGGGCTACAACAACACTTAGCCGACGGAAGTGTTTGTTGCAGTTTCCGTAGCACATTGTTATCGGATGGAGTTGGTAGCCCTCACGCCCAAGTGGGCATGTTTGGTGCGACAAGGACGCGAACCCGCGCCCCTCGGATTGCGAGTCGAGTGACTTATCCACCGGGCCGTGATAGTGTCTATACGCAATGAATTGAATTAAAATGGTCGTTATTTCCTATGTGGAAAACACAATCAATTGAAATAAAAAAGACTGTTGCTTCATTTTTAGCACGCTTAATCAAATAAACAGAAAGAATTAACAGTTGCTATGCGATACACGGAGTAAAATGCATTAATAAAAGAATTGTTATTTCCATGTAGCACATGTGAAACTGTTGATTAATTCGTCTCACAACCAACCAATCAAATAGCTATAACGGTTGTTGCTAGCAACTTCATTTCTACATAAAAAATGAAAAGGAAATAGAGTAAAAAATGTGTTTTCAATTAGGATTACGAACACGAAGGAAATTAGAAACAAAAAAAGTGGATTATAAGGGTTGTTACCTCATTTGTAGTACACTCAAGTAAGTAAATCAAAAAAATAATATAAATGTTGTGTACTCAATTATATAGATTAATGAGAAAATTCTTTTCTAATGAGTTAAAACAACTGTTACCTTTCATTAATACACACTATCAAAAGAATTAAAACAAGTGTTATCTCAGGTAATACAAACTACCAAGTGAATTAAAACAAACGTTATCTCTTAGGTAACATACACTATCAAATAAATTTTAAAACATCTGTTACCTCTTATGTAATACAAACTACCAAGTGGATTAAAACAAACGCTGCCCCCCAGTGGCACAGTGGTATGTCTGCGGACTTACAATGCTAGAATCCGGTTTTCGATACCCGTGGTGGGCAGAGCACAGATAGCCCATTGTGTAGCTTTGTGCTTAATTACAAACAAACAAAAACAAACGTTATCTCTTATGTAATACGTACTATCAAGTGAATTAAAACTAACGTTATATCTTATGTAATACAAACTACCAAGTGGATTAAAACAAACATTATCTATTATATAATACACACTATCGAGTGGATTAAAAGTACTGTTATTTCTTAGGTAATTAACACTGATTGCGTAGAAGCATATGATTCAGTCTAATCCAGTTCTGGTAGAATTACAATACGTATGTCTTTACTTTGAATCAAGTTCAAGAAATTATTAAAAATTACGAAGACGTCATCGTTTCGATGCTTTACACGTATGCAATTATTCAGGTCTCTCTTTCCCCTAATAGAAATCACCAAAATAGCCGAGGACACATTAATACTAAAGAGCAGAGCAGGCGCAAAATCCTGAAACTAATTGTACCTGACAACGATGTCGGCCTACCTCAACAGTCTCAACTAAAGCCCTACACGTCTTCAAACTCCAAGCTTGTGCATTTCTAAATATAATGAATTGGTTGAAGCGAAGTCCTGCTAGCACAGCTTCATCAGTGTCAATGATAGATGTACACATTTACTATGTAATCTTCAAAGACAGATAAATACACAGATAGTGTCTAGACTGGCAAGTAGTCACATCTACCGAACTACAGGATAATAAGGACAGGGTCTGGATAAAGGCCTTCAGGTTAAAACAGATTTTATTTTAACGATTTTGAATTATATTTGAACTAATCTTCTTAAAGTCTGAAGAGCTATAAGCTTTAATTGTGCGCGCGTGTGCTTTATTAAGATAGATATTTAATTAAAACGTATGCTATACACTTAGAACGACTTCTACTTGAACTTGGTACATCGTGATTTATTACCCATTTAGGTATACAGAACTGACATCGTTGTCACCGGGTAGCTAGAATACCCTTCTGTTTCTATAATCTTATTATATGATAGCTGAACGCTCTGCTGTCTGTTTCACATGGTGACCAAGTGACACGGTTACTGTTTTAATTCAACTACCCAATATCAGTTTGTTGAATTGATATTTTTGCACCTGATAACTAGGAAATACTGTTACTACCTTAACCTAACTACCTGATACTAGTAGACTTTATAGATGATGTTGCCACATGGTAAACCAAACATACTGCTATTACTGTAATTCCTTGCTCCTTAGCCAGAAGAGCGAGGAAAGCGGAAGCCAGTGTAGCGGTCGGTAGAAGATAGGTTGATTGATTATGCCTTGATTTCATTTTCCACCTGGAAAAATGCAGAGAAGACGGTGAAATGTTATATCTATATAATGTATATATATATATATATATATATATATATAAAGTAGTAATCTTGTTGTTGTATCGTGTACTTATACTTTACGTTTACTATTCGTTGGTTTAGTTTTAGTTAACGTTAAGT